ATATTTTTTAGACTGAAATACATCAATCAAATCTACCGAACCCATACAGAGATCCATTACTGAAAATAACAGATAAAATATAAGTTTTTTCTTAAAAGACGTTTGATAACTATCTGAACATTATAAAGAATTCGCATGTGAAATTTGAAAATTTTCTGATGCTTAAAAGTATTTTTAATCATAAAATCAAATTTCTTTGCATGTTGGATAGGCAACGTGCGAAAAGAAAAAAAAGCATGAGGAAAACATTGCTTTACAAACCTTAATAAAAAAAAATTGATATTTAGTGTATGAAAGCATTGTAATGTTTACTGATAATCTGCCAAATATCGTTAACATATGCTTACTAATTTAAACTTTATAGCATGAAAACTATAATAAGCACAAAATGGTTACGAGGTCACTCCCAGCGACCAAGCCTGTGCTGAAAGAGTTAAGCATTTTTAAATTACTATTTCTTTAGTATAGTTAATGTTTTTCACTTTTCTCTCTTTATTATTGAACCTTAAGTGAAACATTGGTAAACTAGATTAGAAATAGCATGCTTACAAGGAGTTTGTGTGACGAACTTCTTGTAGCTTCTGGATTACTGCCATCTTCTTTTGAAGTAAGAGAAGTGCCATTTATAGTTGGAAACATGGAATTATATACACAATTTTTAGTGTTTTTGTTCAAGAAATTTACCAGATCTGCTTTCAAAAGTAGTTATTTTAACTCGATTGGTGGGATCTTCCAGCAACAAGTGAACTATTTCATCAGACTGTAACCAAAACCCACTTTGTTATTAGTCTTTACAGAACTCATTTCTGTCTTTTATCTAATATCTTTGGCAAAATCATCCAAGACAATTAGCTTATGGCATATAGAGACAAACCTTATAATGCTGGACTCTTCACAAGGAGTCTTTTATCACAGTTCCATTAACTGCTTTTTTTTTATTTTACGTTGACTCGTTTCATCATGCGTTTTAGCTGACTTTTGGAATTTTATCACATGCCACGTCAGTGAGCTGTAGGTTCGTGCCCTTAGAGGTCATGACTGGAATGTGGTGGGCTACTCAAACCTGCAGCTTCCCTAACTAGTATTGCAGTTCACACATTCTTTTTACATTTTCAGTCTACTATACATTATATACAATATCAAGTAAAAATGTACTTCTTGAGAACCTTTACATATTTAGCATACTTAATATTTGTATTCCACAAATACTTCAGTAGCTTTGTCGTTGTTTGGCTCATGATATAGCTCAGGATAATATTCTATTACCATGGCTCTAGCAATAATAGAAGTAACTACCACTTGTTGAGTAGCTTTGTTGTTGTTTGGCTCCTAATATAACTCAGGATAATATCCTATTACCATGACTCTAGCAATAATAGAAGTAACTACCACTTGTTGAGTAGCTTTGTTGTTGTTTGGCTCCTAATATAACTCAGGATAATATCCTATTACCATGACTCTAACAACAGTAGAACTACCACATGTGGAGTAGCTTTGTTATTGTTTGGCTCTAACAAGAGTAAAAGTAGCTATCAGATGTTGAGTAGCTTTGTTATTGTTTGGCTCTAGTAAGAGTAAAAGTAGCTATCAGATGTTGAGTAACTTTGATATTGTTTGGCTCTAGTAAGAGTAAAAGTAGCTATCAGATGTTGAGTAACTTTGATATTGTTTGACTCACGATGTGCTAGGATAATGTCATATTAACATGGCTGTAGCAAGAGTAGAAGTAACTAACGTCTGGTGAATAGCTTTGGAGAACTTCTTTTTGCCATGACACAGACAAGTATTGTCATGACTCCATATTTAGAATGGGGATTTTCATTTAGCAAAAAATCCTATTTTGGGATATGAATTAGATATACTTAAATAAAAACTTTTCATAAAGTTTTATGCATTGGGTTTCCAGAAGTAGCAACCATGATTTTAAAGATTCATCTTTCTAAATGTGACATCAATAAAACAAAATGAAGATTAACTTAGAACTGCATCATAAGATGTGGTTGTGGACGTAGAGATAAATTTTAACTAAAGGTAGAAATGATTAATTCAGTGGTAAATTGTCTTCACATTGGTTTTCCTTTTCAGGATGAATTAGCAAGAGTGTTTGTGACTTTGTTTGATGCTAAGCATTTGCTGTCTCCTCTTCTATGGAGTATGTTTTATAAAGAGGTATGTATGCTTTCTTAATACTTATTTCTAATACTGACATCATTGCTGGTTTATGATTTTGGTTAAAGAAACTTGTTTCCTTTAAGTATAGCCTTTCTGTTCTTTTTTTTTCATTGAATCTGATTTTAAATTTATAGCAAGTTTTGAGGTTATTGTATTTGTGCAGTTTTGACTAACCACCTTTATCAATATTTTAATTTGAAAGAAATGTTTGAGGTTCTTCTTTTTAAAGCTGACCATCAGGTTTTTTTTTTCGCTCTTTTACATAGGGTCACCCCAGTGGATCAACAGTAAGTTAACAAACTTATAGCTTTAAAATGCAGGGTTTTATTCTCTGTGATTGACAGAGTACAAATAGCCTATTGTGTAGCTTTGCACTAAGAAAAACACTTTTACTTGGGCAAAGATTGATTCATGATGTGTGTTTCTGAATGAATAGCCTTCTTGAAAAGGATTTAATCCATTTAAATTTTTGGCATTCTTGTGACCAGTGTGATAAGAGCTGCTGAAATGTAGTACATATTTAACCCTTTTTGTGCAGACTGTCCATTCAGAAGTGTACAAATTCTGATAGGGTACACATCTCCTCTCACATAAATAGCTATTCTCATTCAGTGCTTCCCTCTATATGCAAAATTTTTTCGCATGTCATAAGACTTCAGCTCCCATGTACCCTACATTCAACATGGTTCAACTGCATCTCGCTTGTAAATCATCATGCGACAACTTTCCACCAATAGAAGTGTGACACACCCTCCTGATGCATGTAAATCCCTCTATTCGATTCTGCCAAACTATCACTTGTTGTTTGACAGTGCTTGTGTCAAGAAATTTTTTATTGTACTCTTCAGTTGTGTTTTTTCTTTAAACTAAGTGCATTTTTTTGTTGTCATTCATTCTGAAGTGGAATTGTTCTTTTGAATTTTATAACAGTTTGCAAACTTAAAGATAACTTATTTTTTCCCTGTTTCATTCATTTATTTTAACACTGTTGTCTTTGATTATTCATTCTTAACAGTGAATTCCAAAGTCCAAGCTACCACTTTGGGGGTAATACCATTTACCAGCATGTTTACACCATCTGCAGATGGGGGTAACTCGGCTATGGAATTATCAACTCTCATCTCCCATGAGATTGATCGTTCTGTGAGTCAACCTGCTTAACCTGATGTTGCCCATCTTCCTCCTGAACATGTCGAACCTGTTCGGGCGGAAGAGGAATTTGACAGCTGTTATCCACCACCTGATTTTGCCATGTCTTCCTATACCCCTTCTGTGGAATCAGCATGCCTAATACAGCTTTTGTAGACGATTTCTCAGATGTGTTCTGTTTTGTTCATTTCCCCAATTTCTTATAATCGCCTTCCTTCTTTGTTACATAATTCCCCCTCCTCTCAATATTTTGTTTCCCCCTTCTTTTGATATTAGGATTCACGCAGAGCATTTTGTATCTCAGTTGATTTTGGGTGTTAGCATGCCTTGCCCTACATGGGCTTCAAATCAGTTTGCTTTAGCATATCATCAGGCTGGATTTCAGTTTCTTGATTCTCAACAGTTGGAATTGCTTTTGCACGTGTTGGGGGATTACCCTGATCATTCTGTTCATTTAATCCACACCCAGTTTTTCTGCCATCATCTTACCCTATCAACTCTCCTACAGGACCTTTCTACCTTTCGAGGTGCTCCTCCACGATCCTTAGGTGTGTTTTTTTTTTTCGGCTCTTTCCTTACACACACGGTTTCTTTGTTGTTGGGATCTTCTGGGGAGGGATGCTGTATTTTCCCAAGTTTGTTTACCACCTACTTATCTCTGGGACTTACATATGGCCCCTTTCTCTGGCAGTCTGTTTTCAAAAATATTCCTGAGACTTTGGAATCCTGGGTCAAATCAGTGATACAGGAATCAACCCTTTCATCTTTGGTTGATTGTTTGTCTCATTCGAAGTCTAGAGACAAGCACCTATTACTGTTTTCCATCCCACTCCTTCCCAGTTCCTGTCTCCAGTGGTTTCTCCTCTTGTTACATTATTCAATTCTGATATACACATCGCCAACAGTACTGGTGACTACACGGTGGGTTCCAGTCCAGTGGGGACTCAACTGATTGATTTTGTGAGTTTTTACCACAGATCAGTGGGTTATTTGATTATTGTCTTAGGGACTTGTCATCCACTTTCTTTCCCCTCCTCCATTGCCTCGGGATCCTACCACCAGTCAACATCTGTCAGAGGCAGTAAAAATCTTCTCTTCCAGAAAGCAGTCGTACCTGTAACTTATCCTTCTCCAGGTTTTTAGTCCAAGCTGTTTGTGGTACCCAATAAAGCTTGGGACTCGCGGCCTGTGATTGATTTGTTCAACCTCAATCACTTTATGGTTCTGCCCCAATTTACCATGGAGTCTTTTCTCACCCTCAGGTGGGCTTTTTCTCAAGGTTTATGGATGACCAAAGTAGATGTCACGATTGCTTATTTGCATATTCCAATATCTTGTCTGTTGAGGTGCTATCTTTGGTTTGTTCACCACAGGGTAGTTTATCAATTTTACGCCCAGCCCTTTTGGCTTGTTTTGGCAGTGTATGTTTTTGTTCAAGTAGCTAAGGCTTTTACCCAACATATGCATGCTTGGAGGTTGTGCTTACACCATTACATGAACGACTGGCTTCTGTTAGCTCTTTCCAAACGGAAGTCTGTCCATCACACTCATCTGCTGCTCCTGGAGGCAGCTTGTGTGGTTTGGTTAATCAAGTTGGAGAAGTCATTCCTTATACCTACCCACTATTTTGTAAATTTGGACGTTTATTTCAACATTCATCTCAGTCAGGCCCAACCTTCTCCTGTTTGACTCCATTCAATGGGGTTTTCAGTTACTGCTCCCTCTGTTACTGCTCGTGAGGTTCTATTGCTTTTGAGGATGGGTCTTCTATTTAAGCCCTTGTCCCTTTGGGTCAGGCACATATGAGGTCTCTTCTATGAGCCATGCATGACCAGTGGAATCTTGTGCAGGATCCATTAGAGATTCCTATTTCCCTTCCTCCTACCCTTGTCAATGATCTGCATTGGTGGTTGGAAAAGTCTCACATATCGACAGGTGTTCCACTTCTTCCATCACGTCTTGATTTGCACATCTTCACAGATGCTTCCCTCCAGGGCGTGGGTTGATCAGCAGAAAGCTTCAGGTCTTTGATCCAGTGGTCTTACCATATCAACATCCTGGAGCTTCTGGCCATACATCATGCTTTGGATTATTTTCTTCATCTTACCAGGAATCATCTGATTATGATTCATTCCAACAATTCTACAGTGATGGCTTATATCAGTCACCAAGGCGGCACTCATTCTCCTTCTCTTTTTGGTTGGACCTTGGATCTCCTTTTTTGGACCTACATACTCAGTATTATTTGTCTCCTTGCATGCCATATTCTGAGTGCATTCAATCTTGTCACGGATCATCCTCCCCATCCCAACAAAGTTTATGCAACAAAGTGGTCTCTCGATCCTCTCATTTTCCAGTGGCTATGCCTTTGGCCAGGTACTCCTCACCTGGATGCGTTTGTCATACCTCTCAGTACCAAATTTCTTCTGTTTTTGATCTTCAGTTCCTCATCCAATTGCACTGGCTATCGATGTGTTCAGTCAGGATTGGATCAACTAATACCTTTATGTGTATCCTCCCACCTTCTTCTTCCCAGTGTGATTTCGATCATCCATGCCACTCCATGTCAAGTCCTTCTTATTGCTTCTTACTGGTCAGCACAACCATGGTTTCTGTGGCTGCTCCAGCTTCAATTTACCCCATCATTACCTCTTCCTTTTACTCCAGCCCTTCATAGCCTCCGTCTTCATGCCTGGTTTTTTATCTGATCCTTGGTGCGGAAATCCGGATTGTCCTAGCGACTTACTTCATTTTTAGCTTGTTCCATTTGCCCTTCCTCTATGTATGTATATCGACGTAAGTGAAACGTTTTCTGTCATTGGTGTTTGGGTCGGAAGTTTTCACCTGCTTGGCCCACTGTTTTTCTTCTTCTTACAGATTTCCTCACTTGGCTGTTTGATCAGGGGTCTTCAGTCTCCTTGATTCCAGGTTATCGGGCTGCCTTATCCCACACTTTTTGTTTTTCCTGGTACCGTAAAGTGTCACGTACCCTTTATCATACCACATATGTTCCCCTCTGTCCTGATCACTCTTTCCTTCCCAAAACTTCAGTGGCTTGTAAGGGTAACTCCTTTTTCTAGCTGATTTACCTTCCTTCCATTTCCCACCTATATTCTCAGTCTGATCTGGATAGATTACTGTGTCTTGTACATGCTCTTCATTGTTATATTGCCTGCACGGCTTCCTTCTCTGGTGCCCGTTCCCGCCTCTTTATTTCATGGCAGCTTTTTTCCTTTTGTGACCTTTCTCCTTTCACTCTTACCAGTTGGGTTCAGCTTTTAATTTGACTGGCTTATATTTCCTTGTTCTTTCTTTCCATAATTTGTTCCAGGTGTCTTCTCAACAGATTAGGCACCTTACCTTTTCCCTGGCATCTCATCCCCGTCGTAGCTTGAAGGAAATTCTTCAATCTGGCATGTGGACTTCACCACATACATTGATCTCTCACTATCTGCATCGGATAGCTGTTTCTTCATTTTTGCAGTCCAAGCTGTTGGAGTGGTGGACCATGGAGGCATCTTCCTGCTTAATGTGATAGTGATGTATGATACAAAATGATGAAACCATTCAGTTGAGAGTAGGGCAGTGGTGTTCTGCTGGTGTAGATGACGAGATTTCCTCCAATCTGATGGTCCAACTCTGTATGGGTTTATTCGAGGGGATGTGGTAGCTTTGGAGTGAGCCGTCAAAATTGCAGTTCACCCCTTCGATTGGGATCCCTCATCCTACTCCCACATAAATGTTAGTTCCCAGTGGCTGGGTTTTGGATTCAGAACTGAACCAATCAACATAAGTTCTAACAAATGTATTACAGTTCCCTCACTCAATTATACTCTTGTTCACTCCACCCATGTTGTGGGTCACAGTGGTGGTACTTGCAGATTAATATGGTTCTTTCTCTTATGCTATCCCTCGATGATTTTCATATACCAAGGATGTTTTTGCACTGGGGGTGGTTACTGTCAGATTGGTTTTGAGTGGGATTGTTTAACTTACAGGGACACCTTTCTTATGCCAGTTGTCCAGGTGCCTGGTTCTTAAATCAGTCAAACAATTTATCATATTGCTATCATGTGTCCCATTCACAGGTTGGTGGTACAAGATTTCCCTCTGGTCTGCTGAATTTGAGGTGAAGATGGTATGATCCTCTTTCCTACCCCCACCAGATGGTATGATCCTCATTTTACTCCAGCATGATGTAGGTTCCCGGCAGCTGGGTTTTGGATGCAATTGACTTGCAGTGTGAGGTCCGTTGCACCCTAGCCATTCTAGACCTAAGGATACAACCTTTTTATGCCCACCCACATTCATGTCATCTATGAAATTGAGATTCAGATATTGTGTGGTTCAGATCCCTATCCAACCATTGTTCTCTCCCTTTTGGATGTGTACCTCCCATTTTCCACCCATGTAGGTGTCACCTCTTTCCACACTGGGCAAAGAGTGAACCTGGTACATATGTGGTGCAGTCTCCCACGTATGATCCTCTAATGCAAGGATCTCCTCTTTTAGAGTGTTCTTCAGATGCTTCTTTTTTTTCCTTTGCACTGGTCCCTCCACCTGTTCAATGTGGGATTCTGTCTATTTATGTGAGAGGAGGTGATGTACCGTATCAAAGTTAAAGTTTTGCTGTATTGAAAATGTTTTTCTGATAAGTACTTACCTCCTTTCACACTTCCCACTCTTCCTTCTCACTGAAACCAGTGCTTCCATTTTCTGCCAAAACTTGAAGTGATAGTTCTGTGGAATCGAATAGAGGGAGTCACATGCATCAGGAGGGTGTGTCGCACTCCTGTTGATGGAGGGTTGTCACATGATGATTTACATGCAAGATACAGTTGAAGAATGTTGAATGTAGGATAAGTGGGAGCTTAAGGCTTGTGGCATACGAATAAATTTTGGTTATAGAGGGCAGTACAGAACAAGAATAGCTATTTATGGGAGAGGAAGTAAATACCTATCGGATATACATTTTCAGTATTGGAAAATTATAACTTTTATCCAGGTCATTTTAAGGGCTAAAGTTAGGCTCTATTCCTAATTGAAAAAATCCTCTAAAATGTTTCTATTTTAAATTGACATTTTCTCAAAATACATTTTAGGTTTTTAAATATTTAACCTTTAGTTTGCAGGCATTATCTTCAGAAACATTTATCATAGACCTAATGAACATTATCACATGAAGACACTAAATTGTTCTTAATTAAATACATATAATGCCTTATGTCTGCAAGTTATCTGTTTGAATTAAAATAGTACTGATTGGTATACCATAGGTGGAGGTATCAGACTGTATGCAGACGTTGTTTAGAGGAAATAGCCTCGGAAGCAAGATCATGGCATTTTGTTTCAAGATATATGGTGCAAGTTATCTTCATACACTTCTAGAGCCTCTAATCCAACCCCTGATTGATCAGCCAAATACAAGCTATGAGATAGATCCTGCTAGGTAAGTTTTCATCCCAAGTCTGTCTGATTAATCAGTGAAATACAAACTATAAGATATATCCTGCTATTATTTGTCCCAATAATGATTAATCAGACAAACACAAAAGTATGCAATGAAACCTGCTAGTATTCATCCTGACTCTGATTAATCAAGTAAATATTCACCCAACTGGGGTCTTCCTCTTATGGCGAGTTGAGGTGAATAATAAACGCTAAAGGACAAGCAAGAAAAATATAATATTAAAAATAAATTGAATTCTGATTAGACAGCAGATAAATCTTCATCCAACTTCTATTCAGGCAGTCATCAGATTTTTATTGTTTTCTTTGTTAGTTTAATCCCTTGATAATTTATGAATCATTAGTGGACTTAAGTTGTTCATCTTTACATTGTTCTAACCCAAGAGTAGAACCCATGGAAAAGGCTCAACAAAGACTTCTCACAAAAACTGAGGTTATTGTGGACATTACTTACTAGTCACCAATTAATATAATTCAGAACATCCCTTAGTAAAAGAAAGATTCAATAAATGCTTCTCATAGTAGCTGGGTCTGTGTGGACTTCAGTTATCAGTTAACCCTATAATCATGATGCCATTTTTAAAATCCTTTCTGTGCCTCTTACTGAGTTATATTCAAAATTTAATTAAACTGCCTTACTCTTAATATATTTTACTGGAATTATTATTATCAAGTTTGTTATAATTCAAAGTTTTTACTCCTTTATTTCAAAAGAAACCTCTAAAATGTTATTTAAAACTTGAGTTTTGTTATCTCATTATGTGCTTGTGGCTACAATTCTCAACTTTAAAAGCTGGTATGAAAGAAACTGTATATGTAATGTAGACAGTCTCTCAGAAATATTCAAATTACAGTATAAGAGGTTGTCCACCAGTAATTTGAGTACGTTCTAAGAACTTCTCCTCCAGAGGAAACAGTTGTAAAAATTTTTTTATTTAAGATAAGCCATGCTCTCTTGCAAAATAGATGTGTATGCCAAACAGCAATTTTAAGTTGAATGGCTTGCTTATAACCAATATAAAGAGCACATTTCCTATTGGTATGTGTGATGAATTTATTATCATATATCTATTTTAATATTGATTTTTGTTTAAGTTAAGTTTATATTTAGAAATGTACGTAACTTGTACTGTTAAATCTGTATTGCGAAATTCCCACCTATTCATTAAAGTAGTAGAAGATTCTAGAGTGTAAGAATCAACAGTATATGTGTGTACATAAACATTAGTGTATTGTCAGTATTGTCATGCAGGCTGAAATTTCTAGAAACTCTCTTCACGCCTATAAATTAACCAATGCGCCACATATATTATTGGTTTGCTACAATTGATATACTATAAACCTCGGAAGCTATAGCTGTGATTAATGCTCATTAATCGGGAACTTCAGATATTTGACTAGGAAAGTTTATAAATTTTGAACATTACAAGCCATATAACCTCAGTGGATTCACATCAGACATTAATATTTTTCAAAAACATTACCTAACTTGATCGTTGCAAACTCGACGTGTGTAGATAGAAGAATATAGAGCTAGCTAATTCCCTGTTAAGTGAATTGTATCAACATCAACTCGGAATTAATTTGCTCATTGTGAACCCTTGATAAGATATCAAGGAAGTTCCAGACCAGAAAGAAGATTCAATATTGTTTGTAAGTTTGTAAATCTTTTGTACATAGATCATTATTTGTAATAACCATTATTGTAAATTGTGTTATTGTTTGTATATTAAAATATATTTGTATCAAAAAGAAACTGTGTGAATCAATCGTGTTGGCAAATATCATAAATTGGATACATATAGACATTTATTTAACTTCTAAATCTAAATTATCATTTAAATTATATTTAGACTATTTGAAATTGTAATACGTAACATATGTCTCTAAATTAACAGTTAATGTAGACATGTATATCCATTTACAAACGAGGTGAAATGAAGCTTAGTCTGTTATTAAGAACAGGGTCCCTAGTACTTGGCTAGTTTTTCTCACTTTATACATATTAGTTTGATAGCCAGTTAAATTGCATTTCAGTTTTACTTTTATATTTTAGTTAATTATGTATAATTTGTGTTATAAAATTCATATTTGAAAGGCTTCATGACTATTTACATTTTTCTTCTCATCACTTCGCTGGTCATATGTTATAAAAAGAAGCAAGAGCAAACATTATGCCTTAGACTAAAGTGTACTTTCTGACAATCATAATGTTGCATTGCTTGCGGGGATCTGTTAAAGTGTGTAGACATAAATAACAAAAGATAAAGAATTGGAAAGGAAAACAAAACAATAAAAAATACTTGGGAAAAGGTAAAGACTTGAAATTACGCATATGACTCAAAGAAGTCATTTTAGGTTTGTTCACTGAAGAGATAAAATGTAACTACATATTTCAGTTTCTTAATTTTAAACATTTTATTGCACAGTTTGTTGATGACAATAGCTAG